TTTAGCCCAATGAAACTCACCTTTGCCTGTCTTTCAAAGACAACCAGAGGAAATTGACTGAACAAAAGAGGTTGAGCGAGTGAAGGAGAGGGAGAGAGCTGGCCAGTCCTGCAGGGAGGGGTCCATACCTGTTTAATGGTAAGCTGTTTCAGAGTGGGAGGAGTCAGCATTTCAGCAAAGTTTTGTCATAAGTGCCTGGGTCACCACAGTAATGCTGAAAAAGCCTCTATGCAGTCCTAAAGGCTGGGACCAGTAAAATCACAGAAATTCAAGAATTCCTGAAAACTGTTTGTACTCTGTGCTCTACCAGTTTATCAAAAACAAACAAACAACAACAACAAACAAAACAAAACAGCATTTCAGCATTTGCCTAGGTTGAAACTCTGAACTCCGAAGTTTCATCTCAGACCTGTTTTGTTTATCCTGTGCCATGAAGCCTGTGAACGAGGCAGACCTGCCTGCATTTTTAACAGGAAAGGTAACTGATGAACTTAGAGCTGGTAAACTGGTCAATCTGTCAGTACCCTAGTAATCAAACACCCTCAGATCTGAGAAGGGTTAGTGTCACCCCAGTGAGTAGAAGGGAGGCAGCTTCCCAGCTGTGACCCAGGCAGCTACCCCAGGCTCTCCGTGGCCATCAAGGCAGTATCAGTCTTCAGCTGACAAGCCCAGGAGACCTGACACAGGTATCTGTGGAGTGGGAATTTGGGGAGAGTGGCCTTCCTCATCTTGGTAAAACAGGATAATGAATTCCCAGTGTTCTGCTTGTTCACCTTCTGGACAGGGTCTTGGTAGCAGGAAAGGGAAAAAGCAGTTTGGTGCTCCCTGGCTAGCTTTGCTACATTTAAGGCAAGCTGCAGATGGGAGATCTTCTGCTGTCACCATCTCCCTTGGAGTAGAGACAGGATTCTGCCAGGGGTTGGCATGTTTCTATCATGAGAAGCTGTCACAGTAAAATGCCAAATTCCCAGATCTCTGAAGCTTTTGAGGATCATGGGATAATTACATGTTACATATATCTAAACTAGAGAAATGTTGCGTGTATATATATATATATGTGTGTATATATATATGTGTGTGTGTGTGTGTGTGTATACAAAGACACACACACACACACACACACACACACACAGCCTAAATATGGACATATCAAAAACGTTGATCCTTTATGAGGGGTGCTGCTAGGGTTCTTCAGTGCCAGAGCATCAAAGGCAGACACACAGCTCAGCCACCCTGCAAGGCCCTCCCTCAGCCTCCTCCAAGAGGCTGGACAGAGCCTGGGTGCCCTCCAGCTCTTCTGGCTGGAGGAGAAGCTGAGAAGGGTGAGGACACGAATGAAGGGAACCATCCTACCTCATCCTCTCCAATGGAGCCCGGATTTTTTTTTTTCAGACCTGAGCCTGAGAACCTGCACCAACTCCCCTAGAGGCATCAGGGTCAGTGCAGCGCAGAAAGAGTACTGGGCAGCAGTAGGTCTGACTGAAGAGCACAGAGGGGGTGTGCTCAAGGGGCAAGGGCCCGGCTGGCAGGTCACTCTCACAGGGCTGCTGGTGACCAGCCATGGCTTCAGCATGCAGCTGTCCTGGTCACAATGGCCCTGAGCATGCAGGAACAGTGCCTGGTGCTGGAATGCACCTCAGGCAGGACTGGCTGCCATGTGCAAGCTGCCAGAAGCCCAGCTGCTGAGTCTGCAAGAATTCACTCAGCTCTCACCCCTGCCAGAAGCAGCCAGGAGACTCAGGATGAGAGCTACTTCCTCAGGACCCCAGACCATCTTCTCAGGGAGGGGAGGGGCTCTGAGAGATGGTCCAAGTCCCCACTGTCCCCTCAGGCTTTCATGTCTATGGCTGTCTTACCAAGTATGTTATCCACTGTCTCCCTAAGCTCCATCCACGAGGCTAGAAGGGATCCCCCTGAGACCGTGGGACAATGTGTAGCCAGGCTTGGCCCCACTCTCCACAGGCAGCTGACCCTCTATTTGCATGCCCTCTGCACTCCTCCTACCTGGCTATCCTTTAGAGAGTGATATGCCAGCTGCCTGGACAGCTCCTGCTTCAAAGGCAGGCACAAACCAGCGAATCTGAGGAACACAGCCTGCACATCATTCCCCGCCCAAGGCAGAACAGACACTTATTTTAGTTGTATGTGCATGAATGGTTTGTCTCCATGTATGTCTATGGTCCATGCTTGTGCCCAGTGCCCAAGGAGGCAAAGAGAGCGCCTCTCATTCCTGGACCTGGAGTTTCAAATTGTTGTGAGCTGGGTGGGTGGGTGCTGGGATTCAAACCCAGGTCCTCTGCAAGAGCAGTCGGTGCTCTAAGCTGCCGAGCCTTCTCTCCATCCCCTCAGGACAGGACTTTTGGGAGGACATCCCAGGGTAGGATCCAGAGCTGACTTTGGCAACTGCAACCTTTGACAGCCCTTCTCACTGTGACTTATGTGACTGCACTTCCTACCAAGCCATGTCCTCCTGTGTGTTAAGGTCAGTCTCCAACCTCGCCTTGTGTGCACTGGATCCCTCAAGGGCTCAGGTGTCACCTCCAGCTGCCACACGCTGAGTCAGCTTTCTATTCCCAGGACAATCACACTCCATTCACAGAGTCACAAGCACACACAGCCAGAACAAGGGACAGGATCCATGGGCCCAGAAGTTTTGTGGCACCATACCCTCCCTACATCAAATGCAGGAAGCCTGCCTGTCAGGAATGCAAGCTGGCAGAACTTATACATGCCTCACCTATGCCAATCTCAGATCCTCCCTGACACTTGCTCCTGGTTCCAGGCTGGAAGCCATCCTGTCTGTCTCTGAGGGCAGTACAAAAGCCTGGAGCCCAGGAGGAAGTAGGGAAGATGGACCTGGAACATACAAATATCAAGTTTGAAACATTTGTGTCATGTGTGAAGAAGGGTGAGGAGAGAGGCGCCTGGGGAAGACCTTCCATGCATGTGTGGCTGCATCATCTTAAGCAGCGAATGCATGGGTCAGCAAGCTGGTTCAAGCCTGACAACCTGAGTTCACTCTGTGGAACCCACACAATCTCTAGAAGCCAATGCTAGAGAGCTGGCTCAGGGGTTAAGGACTGTGTACTGCTCTTCTGGAGGGAAGGAGCGAGTTCATTTCCCAGCACCTCTATCTGGCAGCTCACATCCCTTGTTAGAATGGCTTCAAGGAAGTTTCCCTGATGTGTGAACACCCACACACGAGCACTTGTGCGCGTGCGCGCGCGCACACACACACACACACACACACACACACACAGAGAGAGAGAGAGAGAGAGAGAGAGAGAGAGAGAGAGAGAGAGAGAGAGAGAGAGAAACAGAGAGGATTAAAACCAAATCTTCAAAAACTTCTAGTCCTGATTATACCAGTGTATAATTCCAGGATTAATACCGTAGGATGAGAGAAAGACAGAAGAACCCAGAAGCTCCAGGGCCAGCTAGGCTCAGGTAGAAATAGGAGACATCTTGCTTTACATAAGGTAGATTGGGAGAACCCATGCCCAAATCATTGTTCTCTGACCACTACACACTTGCCATGGCACAGGAGCATCTCTCTCTCTAGCATCTCTCTCTCTCTCTCTCTGACACTCACTGACTCTTTCCCTCTTCCTGTCTCCCCCTACTTCCCTCATCTCTGTGTGTGCCACATGTTTCTCTCCCCTTTCCTCCCTTTCTCCCTCCCCCCACTCCCTCTCACACAGATACCCCAAACTCTTTAACACCAGAACTTTTCCAATGAGGCTGAATGAGAGCACCTGTCAGGCCAGGACCTGGAAGGTGTGGGCATTTGGGTCCTAGCCCCTCACTTCCACTGCCATGCAACATCACCCTTATGGTCCCACAGGACCACTGAAGACTCTCTTCATCAACAACCCAGAGATAAACAGGGACTTTTCTGTCTTCCTCACACCCTGTGTACACTCATTGTTTGGAGCTCCAATTCCTCTACCAACCATGGGCATATGATTTGGCCTCCACCCCTCTAATGAAATGGTCCAGAGGCAAATCTTGGCAACTCATTTCAAAGGCAGTGGCAGTGGTTGGGGGGGGGCTATGCAGGAGACCAAAAATGAAGGGCAAATTCTAGGCCAGTACTTCCAGAGTGCCATGCAGCCCAGGGAGAGAATGATCTGGAAGGTCAGAGACTGGGATGGCAAAAGACCAGGAAAGGAGAAAGTGCTGCTGAATGCAGGAGACAGGAAGCACAAAATGGGTTTCATGAGGCTGTCCCAGACAGGGCAGAAGTCAGAGCAGGGATGGGGTCTTTGGGAAAGGGAGGAAATGCTGGCCATATCAGTCCTGGCCCCAGCACACCTGGCTAAGCTAGACTCCATCGTACCTGCTCAGAAAGGGGACAACATCCCACTCAGGACTTCTGAGCTTTTTTTTTTTCCCCTCACAGAATACTTTATTTATTTTTTGAAAACCTCATGCATCAGAACTGTATTTGGGAAGAGAGAGCAGTGTGTAAATGTGGACTAATGTTCTTAGTGGGTGGGAAAGGAATAGTTTCCACCCTGTTGCTGGACCTCATCACCCCACCAAAAGAGAAAGGATGGAACACAAGACAAAACCACTTAATGTGCGACAGCTCTCAACGGGGTAGGCAGGGGGCAAAATCGGGGGCACAAAGTCAGCTCTGGCAGGAGAACAGAGTTCTCAACTTGTGGGATATTCACATTAAAATCTGTAACAGTAACCCTTTTACAGGTATGAAGTAACAAGGAATCAATTGTATGGTTGGGGGCCACATCGACATGAGGAATTGTATTAAAGGGTCACAGATTTAGGAAGGTTGAGGACCACTACTGTAGGGTTAGTGGAAGGCAGCAGGATCCATGGGCGGCTGTCTGGCCTCTTCTGCAGGGATGCTGGCTCCAACCTGTGAGGCAGAGCAGTGTCAGGCCAGCCCTGGCTTCCTGAGCAGTCAGGAGTGTGGGGAGGGCTCTGGGAAGCACAACACTCACTTCAAAGATCCTGTGGACAGCACAACACTCGCTTCAAAGGGCCTGGAACTTTTCGTTGAGGGCCTGCATGATGGCTGAAACACAGAGGTACAAATGGGTACTCCAGACCCAGACACACAGCAACCCACTCGCCTGAGCAAGTGCCTGAGCAGGAACTTGCAGCCAGCTGCCTTCCAGAAACCCCCAACACACCCCACCCTACCCTCACACCACCCATGTGCAAGAGGCCTGGAGACAGGCTCCCCCAACCATCACAGAGCTCTATGTGGAAACATTCTCCACAGAGCACAGCAGAGACAGGCAGTCCCTAAACGCTGGGCCACAGCAGTGCCAGCCCTACTTGTCACAGCAAACACCTCACAAGCTACAGCTGCCAGGACTTTGAGGGAAATAAAGGAGGGATGTCTAAAGGCCCAGAGAGAAGGGAACCTGGGGGACTCATCTGCAGAGCACATGGGAGAGCATTGCTTCTCAGGGTAAGTCCCTGCAGTCAATGCACAGAGGGCTCCCAGCCTGGCCTGCTTGAGGGCACCTCCCACAAGAGAACCCCTCCCCAGTCCACCCCTACCACCTGTACCCAAACAACAGTAAGTCTCCCTGTGGCCCTGGTACCACCACTTCCCTGCCCTGGGTCGGTCATACCTAGTTGTTCCTTGAGTTCCTCTATTTCCTTCTGCAACATCAGACACTAGTCCAGCAGACACGGGACAAAAAGAAAGGGAGATTACCATTCAATGTCCTGGCCTTTTCTCTGCTCCATTCACACCTCCCACCAGCTTCAGACCTGTGACAAGACTGGCAAAGAACCTTGGACTTGAACGGTAAGTGGGTGACCTCTCTCTGTGGAGAGGTTGCTTAACTGTCAGGTTAACTTTAACAGGCAGCTCAGGGGCTACCTGGGGCTGGCATTTCTGAGATGACAAAGCCCTACCTGGGGACAACCTGGTGTGCCTTGTAATGCTTGCTGCCCATCTCCAACAGGTAATAAAGGACTCACAGATCGATTGTTGTCCCCTGTAAAAATTAAATAAATACAGTATTCAGTGTCAAGATTGGGATTCAGGTCATGTGATCCAGTGAAATCTTAAAAGTACAATCTCGCCCTCTGCTGGCACCAACTTGTATATGTTGGGACATCAGCTCCTTCAAGGTCCCAGTGTTCCTTCTTTGTGCTATAGGTGGCAGCCCAGAAGCCCCATGTACCCCTAGGATGATTCCTATCCAAATTCAGAACCTGGGTGAACTCAGTCCCTGAGCAGAACTCACCAGCAAACCTCTTGTGTGCTAATGGCCAGCATCTGGATTTGGAGATCTCCCTCCTTTTAAAGCCATGCACCCCACAGTGCCTCTCATTTCACATGTGGCCTTTGGCCAGCCCTGCCAAGCCCAGTCTCCTGTGGACTCCCTGCCTACCTAGACAGTGCAGCCCAGGGAGCAAGCCCGAAATCCCCCAAAGGAACAGAGCCTGAGGATTCTTTCCTTCCTCATCTTCCCCCACTGCTGTCAAACCCCTAAGACTCACCACCTGGTGCAGGTGCTCTGGGTCTGGCACTTCTCTGGCTCAAGGTCAAGAGCTGGGAGTTTCCTGGAACGTGGGGTGCTCGGAAGTTGTGGTCTCCACTGGTCATTTCTCCACGATGCAAGCAAGTGCAAGGTTGCTCTGCCCTGTGTGTTGGAAGCTCACACACACAAAAAAATTCTCACTGAGTACATGTTGTAGAGGGGTCTGAGGGGCAAGTGTGGGAACAAAATGGAGGTTGTGAGGTTCATCCCATCTGCATTTTCTGTTGCTCGGTCAGCCTCAGGACAGGGCCAGAGCTCAGTCAGGAAGGAGCCCACAGGAACTGAGAAGGCTCAGGACCTGGCCTGGCTTCCTTGGAGAAGAGCCAGGAGGGAGGAATCAGGAGTCCCTTGAGACTGAGTACACACCCTGTGCAGGGACAGAGGGAGCAGGGTAATGGTTTGTGCTGGGGAGGGAAAGGGCAGGGTGAGAGGAGTCTACTTACTTGGGTTTGCAGGCTAAGATCTCTGGTTTGGTCGTTATCTTCTTTGGCCACTGGCTGGGATTCCTTTGTCTTTTTTGCCGTGCCTCTCTTCCCAGTACAGAAGGGCTTGCACTCTTTGGGCCCCGAAGGCAGTGAGCATTTACTGGTCTTCCCTAGCAGGGCAACCCCGGAGATTGGAGGTAGGGTAGCTAGGCCTACAGGGGCTGACCTGAGTCTCTGCCCCCATGGTGGGAAGGTTCTTCCCAGGGGTCCTCTTGAGGCATCTGACAAGGCCTTCTTCTCCTGAGCTGTCTTCTTTCTAGTACTGGTCTTGGGCACGGTACTTGAGGCAACAGGAGCAGGGGCAGAGGCCGCAGCAGAGGCAGCTGCAGCGGCAGAGGCAGCAGAAGCTCCTGGATAGCCTGGTCTGCTCCCTTCTTTGCCCCAGACCATACTTGGCTTTTTCTTACACAGAGAGCCTTCCAGCTCTCCTGAAGCCTGCTTTTCCATGCCTGAGCTGAGACCCCGGGTAGCACTGGACAGTACAGAGGGGGGCACATGGACAAAACTTCCCCTGCCTTGGACATTCGTGTGTTTGGCCGTGTCTTCCAGCTCAGTGGGGCCACTGGACTTGGCCTGGCCTCCTTCTTTGAGGCAAATGGTCACCCTCATCATCTGGGTCTCAGTGGACTCATCAGAAGACACAGGGTTTGAGATGGGACATTGGGCATCCTCACTGCTCACCATCCTACTTGTAGCGCCTCTTCTCGGGGTCACCCAGCCTCTGCTTCGCCCCAGGCCCCTGGGGTACAGTGAGCCTGCAGTGACCTGCTTCCCTTCGACAGCGCTCAGCGACAGCGCTCCTCTATTGGAGCCTTCATCTATATTTCCCCAAAGGGCAGCCAGTTCGGCGGCACAGGTTTGTGGGGACGGGTACCTGCAGACTCTACGGGTCTGTAGGTTGGTTAGCTCTCTCATTATAGTGATAGCCTCAATACTGAGCTGGGGCAAAAAGTTCCTGTCCACCTCTCCGACCTCTTCTTGGCCCACAGGGGAACTGATCCGGTCTGCTGGGTCCCTAGGCACGTTTTCTGTTGCTTCCGACTTTGGCCCCGCCTCCAACTCATAGCTTTCAATACCCGGGATGCCGCCCTCACCCTCTCGAGTCTCCAGAGGACCTTGGATGAGACTTGCAGCCTCTGGAACTGTGGGGATGTTCAGGGTGTCTCCTAAGTGCTCCCTGCCCTCCTGGCCCAGGTCAGCTTCCGGAGCAGTCTCTAGGGCCCAGGAATTCAAGTCACCGGTAGAAGGGGCACCCTCGTCCCCACTGACTTCAGGAGCTGACACCTCATCCGAGGAGCTCATGTCGCCAGCAGGGGAGGTACAGGTTGAGGGAAGATATTCCCCCTCAGTCACTACAGAGAAAGCGACGCCGTTTACCACCACAGGCCCTGCAAGCTTTTAGTTCAGAGGATACGAGACTTAGCGAGACCTCGAAGTCTCGAAATTTCCTCACACTCGGGCACCAAACCCCGCCCTTCAATGTAGCGAACTAAGCGCACTCGTCTCTATTGGCCAGGGCCTGGAGTCATGGCCAAACAACGGCCGCCCTGGTTGGTGGCTAGTTGAGTGGCAGACCAATGAGAACGCGCCTCGAGGGCACACGAAATCTCGCGTTGTTTGAAACGGAGGGCTCCCGCGCCCGTGGTGTGGCGGTTACCTTCTCGAAGGCGTAGCAGAGGATGCGGTGAGAGGGGTGGGGCACTGTCTCCCCTCAGACGGAACCTGCTGGGCTGGAAGCATGAGCTCTCCTAATGAGGTGTCTGTTAGGGGAAGCGGGTTCGGGCCAGAGAGCGGGGAACACTCAGAAGGACGCCGTTATAGCCATGGATACCTGAGGGGACACGGCCTGAGCCCTAACGAGAGGCTGTTACAGAGCAGCGAGGACAAACTGTGTCTCCCAGTCTCAAAGACTTTCCAGTATGACTCTTGGTTAGACAGGGATGAGACGGAGGGAAGGTCAGTCATTTGGGGCTGCGAAGGTCGGCCTGGCACTCCGGTGGATGAGAGAGGGGACAATTTGGACTTTGTACCGCAGCTGGCAGTAGAGGGTACCAGCTTCGGGTCGCATGCAGCCAATCGGGAGGCCTGGGGGGTCCACAGACATCCGTCGCCAAAAAGCTCTGCCGCGGAGCCCTTTGGCATTTGGGGAGACTCAGATGCAGGCACAAGAGGGAGAGGCATGCGGCCCCCGAGCTCTGTGGAAGGGAAGCAGTTCTCAGCTAGCCAACTGCACTCCAGAGGTCTGGGGCGGGGCAGGGCTTGGGTGACCCCAAGAAGAGGTGCCACAAGTAGGATAATAGCCAGTGATGACATGCAGTATCCGTCCTCTGACCCTGAGTCTTCTGATGAGTTCAGTGAGACACAGATGATGAGGGTGACCATTTGCCTCAAAGAAGGAGGCCAGGCCAAGTCCAGTGGCCTCACTGAGCTGGAAGACACAGCTAGACACACGAATGTCCAAGGCAGGGGAAGTTTTGTCCATGTGCCCCCCTCTGTACGGGGACTCAGCTCAGGCATAGAAAAGCAGGCTTCGGGAGACTTGGAAGGATGTCAGTGTAAGAAAAAGCAAAGTGTGGTCTGGGGCAAAGACGGGAGCAGACTGGGCTACCCAGGAGCTTCTGCTGCCTCTGCCTCTACTCCTGCAGTTGCCTCTGCTGTGGCCTCTGGCCCTGCTCCTATTGCTATTGCTTCAGGTACTTTGCCCAAGACCAGTCCTAGAAAGAAGACAGCACAGGAGAAGCCATTGCAATGGGATGCCTCAAGAGGACCCCTGGGAAGAACCTTCCCACCATGGGGGCAGAGACTCAAGTCAGCTCCTGTGGAACCAGCTACTTTCCCGCCAATCTCCGGGGTTGCCCTGCTAGGGAAGACTAGTAAATGCTCACTGCCTTCGGGGCCCAAAGAGTGCAAGCCCTTCTGCACTGGGAAGAGAGCCATGGCAAAAAAGACAAAGGAATCCCAGCCAGTGGCCAAAGAAGATAACGACCAAACCAGAGATATTCGACTGCAGGCACAAGTAAGTAGACTCCTCTCACCCTGCCCTTTCCCTCCCCAGCACAAACCATTACCCTGCTCCCTCTGTCCTTGCCTTGGCTTGGGTGATGTCAGTAGACACTCATCCTGATTAGGATGTCCAGTGTGGGGTCCTTGTAGTAAGTAAGGGTGGATTTGAAGGGATTCTCAGTTAGGTGTTGGTTATTATTTCCTACCTCTTCATTTCCTCTCTCCAGCCAGGCTGGGTTGGAAAGTGGACAAGGCTCACAGTTTGAGTTATTTGGGTCCAGAAAGCCCTTAAAGTGTGGGCTGCACAACTTGGGTGTGTACTCAGTCTCAAGGGACTCCTGATTCCTCCCTCCTGGCTCTTCTCCAAGGAAGCCAGGCCAGGTCCTGAGCCTTCTCAGTTCCTGTGGGCTCCTTCCTGACTGAGCTCTGGCCCTGTCCTGAGGCTGACCGAGCAACAGAAAATGCAGATGGGATGAACCTCACAACCTCCATTTTATTCCCACACTTGCCCCTCAGACCCCTCTACAACATGTACTCAGTGAGAATTTTTTTTTCTTTTTTTGTGAGCTTCCAACACACAGGGCAGAGCAACCTTGCACTTGCTTGCATCGTGGAGAAATGACCAGTGGAGACCACAACTTCCGAGCACCCCACGTTCCAGGAAACTCCCAGCTCTTGACCTTGAGCCAGAGAAGTGCCAGACCCAGAGCACCTGCACCAGGTGGTAAGTCTTAGGGGTTTGACAGCAGTGGGGGAAGATGAGGAAGGAAAGAATCCTCAGGCTCTGTTCCTTTGGGGGATTTCGGGCTTGCTCCCTGGGCTGCACTGTCTAGTTAGGCAGGGAGTCCACAGGAGACTGGGCTTGGCAGGGCTGGCCAAAGGCCACATGTGAAATGAGAGGCACTGTGGGGTGCATGGCTTTAAAAGGAGGGAGATCTCCAACTCCAGATGCTGGCCTTTAGCACACAAGAGGTTTGCTGGTGAGTCCTATACAGGCTCTGAATTCCTACCTGGATGAAGCGATGAGTGATAGCCGTGGATCAGGGCCAGTCTTAGGGGCTCACAGAACCTTTATGCTGTCTCTGGGCTGGAATGAAGAAGGAATAGAGCTGTATAGCGCTGAGGACATTCAAAGTATATTTTGCAGCCAGTAGAGGGAATGGATGCCTCAGTTTAGACCTCAGCAGTAACTTCCCACTAGGATCACAAGCCTAGATGTCACATCCTGTCTCTGTCTCTTGTGTGTATGTTTTTTTCAGGTGACCAGGAATTGTCCCTACGTCTCCAACTCCCGGTTGGAGAGAGGCAATATCAAACACCAGGAACAATGGGATGCCAACAGGTAGGGCTTTGTCATCTCAGAAATGCCAGCCCCAGGTAGCCCCTGAGCTGCCTGTTAAAGTTAACCTGACAGTTAAGCAACCTCTCCACAGAGAGAGGTCACCCACTTACCGTTCAAGTCCAAGGTTCTTTGCCAGTCTTGTCACAGGTCTGAAGCTGGTGGGAGGTGTGAATGGAGCAGAGAAAAGGCCAGGACATTGAATGGTAATCTCCCTTTCTTTTTGTCCCGTGTCTGCTGGACTAGTGTCTGATGTTGCAGAAGGAAATAGAGGAACTCAAGGAACAACTAGGGTATGACCGACCCAGGGCAGGGAAGTGGTGGTACCAGGGCCACAGGGAGACTTACTGTTGTTTGGGTACAGGTGGTAGGGGTGGACTGGGGAGGGGTTCTCTTGTGGGAGGTGCCCTCAAGCAGGCCAGGCTGGGAGCCCTCTGTGCATTGACTGCAGGGACTTACCCTGAGAAGCAATGCTCTCCCATGTGCTCTGCAGATGAGTCCCCCAGGTTCCCTTCTCTCTGGGCCTTTAGACATCCCTCCTTTATTTCCCCTCAAAGTCCTGGCAGCTGTAGCTTGTGAGGTGTTTGCTGTCACAAGTAGGGCTGGCACTGCTGTGGCCCAGCGTTTAGGGACTGCCTGTCTCTGCTGTGCTCTGTGGAGAATGTTTCCACATAGAGCTCTGTGATGGTTGGGGGAGCCTGTCTCCAGGCCTCTTGCACATGGGTGGTGTGAGGGTAGGGTGGGGTGTGTTGGGGGTTTCTGGAAGGCAGCTGGCTGCAAGTTCCTGCTCAGGCACTTGCTCAGGCGAGTGGGTTGCTGTGTGTCTGGGTCTGGAGTACCCATTTGTACCTCTGTGTTTCAGCCATCATGCAGGCCCTCAACGAAAAGTTCCAGGCCCTTTGAAGCGAGTGTTGTGCTGTCCACAGGATCTTTGAAGTGAGTGTTGTGCTTCCCAGAGCCCTCCCCACACTCCTGACTGCTCAGGAAGCCAGGGCTGGCCTGACACTGCTCTGCCTCACAGGTTGGAGCCAGCATCCCTGCAGAAGAGGCCAGACAGCCGCCCATGGATCCTGCTGCCTTCCACTAACCCTACAGTAGTGGTCCTCAACCTTCCTAAATCTGTGACCCTTTAATACAATTCCTCATGTCGATGTGGCCCCCAACCATACAATTGATTCCTTGTTACTTCATACCTGTAAAAGGGTTACTGTTACAGATTTTAATGTGAATATCCCACAAGTTGAGAACTCTGTTCTCCTGCCAGAGCTGACTTTGTGCCCCGATTTTGCCCCCTGCCTACCCCGTTGAGAGCTGTCGCACATTAAGTGGTTTTGTCTTGTGTTCCATCCTTTCTCTTTTGGTGGGGTGATGAGGTCCAGCAACAGGGTGGAAACTATTCCTTTCCCACCCACTAAGAACATTAGTCCACATTTACACACTGCTCTCTCTTCCCAAATACAGTTCTGATGCATGAGGTTTTCAAAAAATAAATAAAGTATTCTGTGAGGGGAAAAAAAAAGCTCAGAAGTCCTGAGTGGGATGTTGTCCCCTTTCTGAGCAGGTACGATGGAGTCTAGCTTAGCCAGGTGTGCTGGGGCCAGGACTGATATGGCCAGCATTTCCTCCCTTTCCCAAAGACCCCATCCCTGCTCTGACTTCTGCCCTGTCTGGGACAGCCTCATGAAACCCATTTTGTGCTTCCTGTCTCCTGCATTCAGCAGCACTTTCTCCTTTCCTGGTCTTTTGCCATCCCAGTCTCTGACCTTCCAGATCATTCTCTCCCCTGGGCTGCATGGCACTCTGGAAGTACTGGCCTAGAATTTGCCCTTCATTTTTGGTCTCCTGCATAGCCCCCCCCCAACCACTGCCACTGCCTTTGAAATGAGTTGCCAAGATTTGCCTCTGGACCATTTCATTAGAGGGGTGGAGGCCAAATCATATGCCCATGGTTGGTAGAGGAATTGGAGCTCCAAACAATGAGTGTACACAGGGTGTGAGGAAGACAGAAAAGTCCCTGTTTATCTCTGGGTTGTTGATGAAGAGAGTCTTCAGTGGTCCTGTGGGACCATAAGGGTGATGTTGCATGGCAGTGGAAGTGAGGGGCTAGGACCCAAATGCCCACACCTTCCAGGTCCTGGCCTGACAGGTGCTCTCATTCAGCCTCATTGGAAAAGTTCTGGTGTTAAAGAGTTTGGGGTATCTGTGTGAGAGGGAGTGGGGGGAGGGAGAAAGGGAGGAAAGGGGAGAGAAACATGTGGCACACACAGAGATGAGGGAAGTAGGGGGAGACAGGAAGAGGGAAAGAGTCAGTGTCAGAGAGAGAGAGAGAGAGAGAGAGAGAGAGAGAGAGAGAGAGAGAGAGAGAGATGCTCCTGTGCCATGGCAAGTGTGTAGTGGTCAGAGAACAATGATTTGGGCATGGGTTCTCCCAATCTACCTTATGTAAAGCAAGATGTCTCCTATTTCTACCTGAGCCTAGCTGGCCCTGGAGCTTCTGGGTTCTTCTGTCTTTCTCTCATCCTACGGTATTAATCCTGGAATTATACACTGGTATCATCAGGACTAGAAGTTTTTGAAGATTTGGTTTTAATCCTCTCTGTTTCTCTCTCTCACTCTCTCTCTCTCTCTCTCTCTCTGTGTGTGTGTGTGTGCGCGCGCACGCGCACAAGTGCTCGTGTGTGGGTGTTCACACATCAGGGAAACTTCCCTGAAGTCATTCTAACAAGGGATGTGAGCTGCCTGATAGAGGTGCTGGGAAATGAACTCGCTCCTTCCCTCCAGAAGAGCAGTACACAGTCCTTAACCCCCAAGCCAGCTCTCTAGCATTGGCTTCTAGAGATTGTGTGGGTTCCACAGAGTGAACTCAGGTTGTCAGGCTTGAACCAGCTTGCTGACCCATGCATTCGCTGCTTAAGATGATGCAGCCACACATGCATGGAAGGTCTTCCCCAGGCCCCTCCCTCCTCACCCTTCTTCACACATGACACAAATGTTTCAAACTTGATATTTGTATGTTCCAGGTCCATCTTCCCTACTTCCTCCTGGGCTCCAGGCTTTTGTACTGCCCTCAGAGACAGACAGGATGGCTTCCAGCCTGGAACCAGGAGCAAGTGTCAGGGAGGATCTGAGATTGGCATAGGTGAGGCATGTATAAGTTCTGCCAGCTTGCATTCCTGACAGGCAGGCTTCCTGCATTTGATGTAGGGAGGATATGGTGCCACAAAACTTCTGGGCCCATGGATCCTGTCCCTTGTTCTGGCTGTGTGTGCTTGTGACTCTGTGAATGGAGTGTGATTGTCCTGGGAATAGAAAGCTGACTCAGCGTGTGGCAGCTGGAGGTGACACCTGAGCCCTTGAGGGATCCAGTGCACACAAGGCGAGGTTGGGACTGACCTTAACACACAGGAAGACATGGCTTGGTAGGAAGTGCAGTCACATAAGTCACAGTGAGAAGGGCTGTCAAAGGTTGGAGTTGCCAAAGTCAGCTCTGGATCCTCCCCTGGGATGTCCTCCCAAAAGTCCTGTCCTGAGGGGATGGAGAGAAGGCTCGGCAGCTTAGAGCACCGACTGCTCTTGCAGAGGACCTGGGTTTGAATCCCAGCACCCACCCACCCAGCTCACAACAATTTGAAACTCCAGGTCCAGGAATGAGAGGCGCTCTCCTTGCCTCCTTGGGCACTGGGCACAAGCATGGACCATGGACATACATGGAGACAAACCATTCATGCACATACAACTAAAATAAGTGTCTGTTCTGCCTTGGGCGGGGAATGATGTGCAGGCTGTGTTCCTCAGATTCGCTGGTTTGTGCCTGCCTTTGAAGCAGGAGCTGTCCAGGCAGCTGGTATATCACACTCTAAAGGATAGCCAGGTAGGAGGAGTGCAGAGGGCATGCAAATAGAGGGTCAGCTGCCTGTGGAGAGTGGGGCCAAGCCTGGCTGCACATTGTCCCACGGTCTCAGGGGGATCCCTTCTAGCCTCGTGGATGGAGCTTAGGGAGACAGTGGATAACACACTTGGTAAGACAGCCATAGACATGAAAGCCTGAGGGGACAGTGGGGACTTGGACCATCTCTCAGAGCCCCTCCCCTCCCTGAGAAGGTGGTCTGGGGTCCTGAGGAAGTAGCTCTCATCCTGAGTCTCCTGGCTGCTTCTGGCAGGGGTGAGAGCTGAGTGAATTCTTGCAGACTCAGCAGCTGGGCTTCTGGCAGCTTGCACATGGCAGCCAGTCCTGCCTGAGGTGCATTCCAGCACCAGGCACTGTTCCTGCATGCTCAGGGCCATTGTGACCAGGACGGCTGCATGCTGAAGCCATGGCTGGTCACCAGCAGCCCTGTGAGAGTGACCTGCCAGCCGGGCCCTTGCCCCTTGAGCACACCCCCTCTGTGCTCTTCAGTCAGACCTACTGCTGCCCAGTACTCTTTCTGCGCTGCACTGACCCTGATGCCTCTAAGGGAGTTGGTGCAGGTTCTCAGGCTCAGGTCTGAAAAATAAATCCAGGCTCCATTGGAGAGGATGAGGTAGGATGGTTCCCTTCATTCATGTCCTCACCCTTCTCAGCTTCTCCTCCAGCCAGAAGAGCTGGAGGGCACCCAGGCTCTGTCCAGCCTCTTGGAGGAGGCTGAGGGAGGGCCTTGCAGGGTGGCTGAGCTGTGTGTCTGCCTTTGATGCTCTGGCACTGAGGATCCCCTAGCAGCACCCCTCATAAAGGATCAACGTTTTTGATATGTCCATATTTAGGCTGTGTGTGTGTGTCTTTGTATACATACACACACACACACACACACACATACACACACACACACACACACACACACACACACACACACACACATATATATATATATATATGCAACATTTCTCTAGTTTAGATATATGTAACATGTAATTATCCCCTGATCCTCAAAAGCTTCAGAGATCTGGGAATTTGGCATTTTACTGTGACAGCTTCTCATGATAGAAACATGCCAACCCCTGGCAGCATCCTGTCTCTCCTCCAAGGGAGATGGTGACAGCAGAAGATCTCCCATCTGTAGCTTGCCTTAAATGTAGCAAAGCTAGCCAGGGAGCACCAAACTGCTTTTTCCCTTTCCTGCTACCAAGACCCTGTCCAGACGGTGAACAAGCAGAACACTGGGAATTCATTATCCTGTTTTACCAAGATGAGGAAGGCCACTCTCCCCAAATCCCCACTCCACAGATACCTGTGTCAGGTCTCCTGGGCTTGTCAGCTGAAGACTGATACTGCCTTGATGGCCACGGAGAGCCTGGGGCTGCTACCTGGGTCACAGCTGGGAAGCTGCCTCCATTCTACTCACTGGGGTGACATTAACCCTTCTCAGATCTGAGGGTGTTTGATTACTAGGGTACTGACAGATTGACCAGTTTACCAGCTCTAAGTTCATCAGTTACCTTTCCTGTTAAAAATGCAGGCAGGTCTGCCTCGTTCACAGGCTTCATGGCACAGGATAAACAAAACAGGTCTGAGATGAAACTTCGGAGTTCAGAGTTTCAACCTAGGAAAATGCTGAAATGCTGTTTTGTTTTGTTTGTTGTTGTTGTTTGTTTGTTTTTTGATAAACTGGTAGAGCACAGAGTACAAACAGTTTTCAGGAATTCTTGAATTTCTGTGATTTTACTGGTCCCAGCCTTTAGGACTGCATAGAGGCTTTTTCAGCATTACTGTGGTGACCCAGGCACTTATGACAAAACTTTGCTGAAATGCTGACTCCTCCCACTCTGAAACAGCTTACCATTAAACAGGTATGGACCCCTCCCTGCAGGACTGGCCAGCTCTCTCCCTCTCCTTCACTCGCTCAACCTCTTTTGTTCAGTCAATTTCCTCTGGTTGTCTTTGAAAGACAGGCAAAGGTGAGTTTCATTGGGCTAAAAGCAGACCCCAA